ACCTCTTCTGCCCAAATTGACCTTAATTTTCTTATAAATATTTTGAGCCTCTTGAAATTTCTTTATTTTAAGCTCTCTGTCTAGTACGTCTTGATGTAAAAATTCCCTTTCTTTTTGAAAGAATTCCTTTACAGAGGTAATATTACATTTCTCGTGCTCCATCTGTCTCAGCTCTTCCACCTTTACTTTTAAGTCTTTTTCAAGCTTGGCTAGGTTTAGTTTGGAAGAATTTTCAAGATTTAAAAATTTGGTTTGCTCTTCTTCAAACATTTWRAAAAAACGGTTTCTTTCTTCTGTGAGCAACCWGACTTCCTTTTCACAAAATAAAAGCTTTTCTTTAGAATTTTGATGCTCCAAATGACATTGGTCGAGATTTTCAAGGATCTCTATGAAGAAATCAAAGGAATCAGAAGAGGACGAAGTAGACACCTCTTGATCGTTTCTCACAGAGGAGTCTGTCTCAACATCAGCCATCCCACAGAAGAGTTCATCCTCTGTGTCTGAGTTTTCCCATGCAAGAAGACCCTTTTGATTATCATCGTCAGAGGATTCATCTATGACTAGCTCACTAGATTGAGCTAGTAGTGACTTCTGTTGGTAGTATTCTGCCTTCTTTCTGTAGAAGGCTGCGTCTTTTGGACCACTCTGTGGTGCCCTGGGTTCTTTGGACCAGCAATCTGCAGCATAGTGGCCAGGTTTGCCACACTTGAAGCAGCCATCCTTGGGCTCTTCGTTCCTCTGTTCTTCATCCCTCTGAAAGGGCTTCTGCTCCTTCTCTTTTTTTCTCAGATCTCTCTCCTTCTATGAAGCTCCTGTGATTGAAGCTTCTGTACTACTTTCTGTCTCCACCCTTTCTGTATTCTCTTGTGATCAATGCAAGAGTCTTCATTATCTCCTTCATGGAGATCTCTTCTTCTTCAGAGTTGTTGTCACTGTCTGCAAGCAGCACCATTTTCTTCTTCTTCTTCTCCTTCTTCGCCTCCTTCCCCTCATTTCCCTTGCCGGAGCACCCGTCCTCTACAACTAGAGCCAGAGGGCCACCCAGATTTCTCTTCTTTAGCATAACTTGGGACTCTTGACTCTTGAAAGATCCAAACAAGTCTGCTAACGTCCATGTCTCGAGATCTAGGATGGCCTTCATGGACATTGTAATATTCGACCATTCATCCCCAAGGCTCTTCAAGAACAGTGAGTTGTTCTCCTCTGTTGTTCTGGGGATACCATACCTTTTACAGTTGCT